AACTCGAAAACCAGAGCAAGTTGGGACTTGAAATTTTCACAGAGTCTATATAAAACATGCAGCAAGAAATTTGGAAAAGTGTTCAAAAATTCAAACGGCCACTGATTTTTTAGAAGCTTGCAAACTTGGGCCTAAAAATTTAAAAAAATCATACTTATGCGTACCTTAACAAAAAATCCTAACTCGAAAACCAGAACAAGTTGGGACTTGAAATTTTCACAGAATCTATATAAAACATGGAGCAAGAAATTTTGAAAATTGTTCAAAAATTTAAATGCCCACTGATTTTTAAGAAGCTTGCAAACTTGGGCCTAAGAATCAAAAAATTCATACTTACGCGCACCTTAACAGAAAATCCTAACTCGAAAACCAGAGCAAGTTGGGACTTGAAATTTTCACAGAGTCTATATAAAACATGCAGCAAGAAATTTGGAAAAGTGTTCAAAAATTCAAACGTCCACTGATTTTTTAGAAGCTTGCAAACTTGGGCCTAAAAATCAAAAAATTCATACTTAAGCGCACATTAACAAAAAATCCTAACTCGGAAACCAGAGCAAGTTGGGACTTGAAATTTTCACAGAGTCTATATAAAACATGCAGCACAAAATTTGGAAAAGTGTTCAAAAATTCAAACGCCCACTGATTTTTTAGAAGCTTGCAAACTTGGACCTAAAATCAAAAAAATCATACTTCCGCGCACCTTAACTAAAAATCCTAACTCGAAAACCAAAGCAAGTTGGGACTTGAAATTTTCACAGAGTCTATATAAAACATGCAGCAAGAAATTTGGAAAAGTGTTTAAAAATTCAAACGCCCACTCATTTTTTAAAAGCTTGCAAACTTGAGCCTAAGAATCAAAAAATTCATACTTACGCGCACCTTAACAAAAAATCCTAAGTCTGAAACCAGAGCAAGTTGGGACTTGAAATTTTCACAGAGTCTATATAAAACATGCAGCAAGAAATTTGGAAAAGTGTTCAAAAATTCAAACGCGCACTGATTTTTTAGAATCTTGCAAACTTGGGCCTAAAAATCAAAAAATTCATACTTACACCTTAACAAAAAATCCTAACTCTGAAACCAGAGCAAGTTGGGACTTGAGATTTTCAGATAATTTATATATCACATGGAGCAAGAAATGCTGCGAATTGTTCAAAAATTCAAATTATTTTTTGGCAAAATTTCCAGAATAACAAAGTTCTGATTTGGGCATTTTTTTATGCAACCTTTTCCATCGATTTTCGTCTTAAATTGTCTATGAAGACTAAGCTTGAACATCGGCCCAAGAGCAGAAAAGTTATCGCTGCATTAGCAAAAAGTTGATTTTTTGAGACTACCCTGTAAATAATCCGTTGGCCGTAGAATTCTGCAATGCACGCACTTTCTCAAATTAAATCTCAAATTAGGAGGTTTTAAATTTCCCAGGAAACACTTATTAAGAAAATCGCCTGTTTTTCAAAACCCGCTCTTATTTTTTTCTGGATCTTTATAGATACAGTAGGACAAGAAAACTCAATAGAACACTCCTGCATACAGAATTAAAATCTGTATTTTCCGCGTGAAGAATTAAATAGAGAGTGTTTCAAGTTCAAGCAAAAAAATGTACTTTTTTCAAACTCGCGCAAAGCTCTAAGACCCCTTAGAGCTGCATATAGAATCAAAATACGCATTTTTTCAATTCGTTTCATCGCAAAAGTGCCTGTTTTAATGGTAACTCGTTTCACGGATAAATAGGCGCCTGACGGAAATACTGGATAGTCCCATTCAAATTTGAAGCAAAATTGATCAAAGAAAAGGAAATAGGCGTTTGATCAAACGCTCAATTGGACGCTAATCAGCTTGTCGCTTTCGGAGCCGCTTCGCTTAAGATCGTGTGGCCAAACTTTACGTGATTTTAGGTTCCTTTGGAAGAATACATAAATTTGGCTTTGCAGGAAATAAGTTTTAATGAAACTGCTAAGTATTACGGCAAAACCATGCATATTTATAAATCACTGGACCCACAAGTGTATGTATGTCGAGCTGGTGGAACTTCGGAATCAACTCTACCTCAAAGGTTGTCCTTATTTATGAGATGTGACTCTGGGGAGGAATAAAGGTCATAGCGATGTGGCTGTTTGAAATCCCCAAAATTAAATATATTTATGAGGAGATGTGGAAGGAGGTCCATTTTCAATTTCGCGTACTTTGAATGGGACCGACATGTCTGTTGCAGTTGTAGATGCTGTTTTCAATGCAAGTTAATTTAAGAGAAACAATAGACTAATTACCCATCTCTTTAAAGGACTGGTTCAAAGCAGCTTTGCTGGAGCATTGCGAGCAAAAGCTCATTAACTACTAACAAACCTGCAGTTTCTCGACACTCTTCTTGTTTCTCTTTACTTGAGTTATCCGGGCTGGAAACAGCGAAAAATACGAGGCAATAAAATTTCATTTATAATAAGGAATAATCCGTGCGCAAAGCATTTCATATTTATTGGAATGAGGTGCGTTTTGAAGTAGTTTTGACGAGTCAGTCAGTTTGGCTACAATCATCAATCTGGTAAATTTCAAAGACTTTGCAAACAAAGGGCTTGCAGCCAGTTTGTATTTTAATCTTATCTGCCCCGACCGCATGTGAATGTAAATGGCCCATTATGCGTCCACACCTGGCCATCGAGCCTCTTTTTGCTCCCAGACTGATCGGCGAAACATGTTTAAACATTAACTCCATGTTAGGGCATGACTGGATTTTTCAATGGCTGATTGTCTTGTTGCGCCGATATTTCCTCGACATGTCAGGGCCAAATCGAACTGGAAAAACTATTTGCTTCGTTCTCATTGACCGGGCATTCATTCATTGTCCAAACGCCAAAGTCTTTTGTCAGTTTCAAGAGGCCGAAATCTCGATCCATTAGTCTTCGAAAGGCCTAAAAATGTCGCAAATGGCTAGTGAAAAAAACCTTATTGTCGGCTGGAGCACCGGATCGCTAATAAAACTAGAAAGCCGTGAAATATCGCTTACTTTATTGGAGGAATCGAATTCATTTTCACGTTATATTACTAATGAACGTCGGTGGGACGTCGACGAGGCAAAAACCTATGGAATCTAACCATCAATGAACGCACATCGTCACATACATTTATCGTTGAAACTTGCTAAAAAAACGTTTACTGAAGACATTTGTTTCACTGTAAGCTTCGCTAACTCTGGCACTGGAAGGAGCAATTTCTCATCGCCAAAACAATAGTATTTTTTATTCGCATGAAAGATTACACGAATAATAAAATGCATCGATTTCATATTTAAAATTTTGTGGCAATGTCATTTTTTCAAATGTCATGTTTTGAAGTTTGTAATTAAGTTTAAGTACTTTTNNAACTTGAAACACCTGTGGTCTTGGGATGGTGTATGCATGTTGCATACTCTGCATGACATTTGCGCTTCTTAAAAAGATCGTGTTTTACGTGTGACAACATCGCAAAAGTAGATAAGTAGGCCATTAACACGATTATGAGACTGAACTTGTAACAAAGGTATAATTTGCAAATTGTAAGTAAACTTGAAAATAGGATCAATAGTTGTTGATAAACCTACGTAATTCCTTAAAAAAGCATTTCGGTTATTTTTAAATAAAAATA